TTTGTTTTAATTTGTGACTGTGTTTGCTCTCTTTTTAATTTATCTAGTATTAATTACTTATCTTTGAATTATAAAATTAATGTTTTTTGAGTTTTGTTTGTTTGTTTGTTTTGAGACAGGATCTCACTCTGTCTCCCAGGCAAGAGTGTAGTGGCATCATCATAGCTCACTGCAACCTCAAACTCCTGGGCTCATCCTCCCACCTTAGCCTCCCAAGTAGCTAGGACTCCAGGTGTGCGCTACCATGCCTGGCTAATTTTTCTATTTTTTGAGACAGGGTTTTGGTCTGTTGCCTAGGCTAGAGTGCAGTGGCATCATGATAGCTCACTGCAACCTCAAACCCCTGGGCTCAAGTGATGATCCTCCTGCCGAGTAGCTGGGACTGCAGGCGAGCACCACTATGCCCAGGCTAATTTTTCTATTTTTAGTAGAGATGGTGTCTCGCTCTTGCCGAGACTGGTCTCGAACTCCTGACCTCAAGTGATCTTCCCACCTTGGCCTCCCAGAGTGTTAGAATTACAGGCGTGAGCCACCGCGCCCAGCCTGGATATTTCATATAAATGGAATCATGTAATATGTGACCTTTTATGCCTACCCTCTTTTATTTAGCACAGTGTTTTCAGGATTCATTCACACCGTAGCATGTATCAGTACTTCATTCTTTTTTATGGCTGAATAATATTCCATCTTACGTATATGCCACAATTTGTCTGTTTGTCCATTGATAGACATTTGATATGTTAAAAAGTGAACTACTAAAGTTTAGGAAATGTGGAGTAGAAAAACACTGATCTAGAGTTAGACAACTGTTTTTAGTCCCACCTCAGCTGGTTAGTGTCCATCTGTGACCTTTAAAATGCTGTTCTTAGAGTTTCAGTGTCCTCAACTGTGAAGTGAAAATGGCAGTATAAATTTCTGAGAGTTTTGAAATGCTTTCTCCAAATATTAGTGTTTTATTATTCCCCTGCTCAAAATCCTGTTGCTTCTGAAAAAAGGCTAACCTTAGGCCCTATGCAATATTAGCCGTGGTTTAATCCTTCAACCTCCGTGTTCTCTGTGCTCCAGCCCACATGGACCACTTACTGTGATAAAACACATGGACTTACCTTCTTCCTATGGCAAATATCCATAGTATTTTATTGGCCTCTGTGTTAGGGAACTTCATCTTATTCCTGTGTGCTGGAGAGGTGTCACTCACGATTTGGTTATTTCTACTTTAGGCATTGAAAGAGAAAAATAGCAGTTCAGTTGTTGGATAATAAAGGAAGCGGAACAGAAAGCAGAAGACTGTTTTTCTCTGTCTTATTTGTATAGCATGTGGTACAGTTTTAATCAGAGTAGATAAATGGTTTTTGATTGAGTAGAATGCAAGATTTCTCCTATGCATGAACTTAAGGAATCTTTTCTTTTTGCTTAAATGTAGAATTTAACCAGTTTCTTCAAGTAGAAAGGTTAGACTATGTATATGTGTAGCCACAGTTCCCAGATTAATCTTAGTTTATGTATTAAACATTATTTAGTTCCACTTAAGCTCCTTTTGTCATTGTGTCATTTTTATGCCGTGACTGAGCAGTTAATATTTTAAGCCATTCCATGAATCAAGACTGAAATAAAAGTAAAGTTCCCTCTCAGAATTTGAAACGTATAGGTAGGTAGATAATTGTGAGCATAGATGAGATATTTGTGCCAGTTTTTTAATTAGCCATTATCTTGGCGAAGACCTTAATATACACGAATTATATTGAGTTAATTTGAGGAGCATTCTAGTTTTTTTTAGCAGATTTATCTCATTTGGAGCACCATGTGAATAAACTTTGAATTATTGGGTATGTAATCAGAGTCTTTCAGTGATCTTAAATCAGCAATATTTTTTATCCTTAAAGACATAAATTTTTAGCCTGGACGAGGTGGCTCACACCTGCAATCCTAGCACTCCGGGCAGCGAGGCAGGAAGATTGCTTGAGGTCAGGAGTCCGACACCAGCCTGAGAAAGATCGAGATTTCATCTCTACTGAAAATAGAAAAAATTAGCCGGGCATGATGGTGCATGCCTGTAGTCCCAGCTACTCAGGAGGCTGAGGCAGGAGGATTGCTAGAGCCCAGGAGTTTGAGGTTGCTGTGAGCTAAGCTGACAC